AGACAGTTTAAAATTTATGCTTGTAATGATTGCTACATGGTCCATTAAGACCACCTCTAAGTGAGCTTAATTTGTAGCAGATAAATGTACATGTCTACATATTTTTCAACATAGTTTATGGTGCATCCTGCACAGCTGTGCCCAACTGATTAAATCCTCACAAAATTTAAATAGGAAACCCATTACATAGACAGTATTATATCCATTTATCATACACACATTTTCAATTTAACTCTCTAAGTCTTTGTGCAGGATATTTTCACTGTTTCATTAAATATGTATAGCGAGGCCATTTTCTCTTCTAGTTTGCTTTGTGCTTTTGTTTTCTGGGTTTGTTTGGATCATCCTTTCCATTTCTATCATCCAATAATTAAGAACTTCAGCAAATTGAACATCATCTACCACAATTATCTCAGTAATGATCCTAGATGTGAGAGTCACTTAAAATCCTAGATCAAGACAGCACTTACCTAGGGAAAACAAGCAGGGCTATAACCACTGTGTAGGGAAAGGTGATTGGTACTAACACCCTCACTTCTCTGTCTGGATGGATATTGGACTCTGGATTTGTCTGGAGAGATAAACATGCTAGATTGTGATAAATGTTTGGATTACAGATGTTTCTCTTCTTTCTTCAGCATTTCCCATTAGTGAATTCTGAGCATTTCCTGATTTTGTTAAAATCCTTTCTATAATCCCATTCTGAACTGTCCAGCTTTATCTTTGCTTTAGGTGTTTTCAGTGTCATATAAACCATAGTTTTGGCTTATGGAAATAGGATTAGAAGTATTTATCCAATTTTAGAGAGAAAATTTTACAGATCAAATTTAACTGCTCTGGATTATTTGAAATCCCTCTTATGGTCATAGAGAAGTTTAAAGCTGTTAATTTCACTTGCCCTGAGCCCTATGTAAAATAGATGGTATGAATTCCTGTCAGTGAAATGCTGTTCTACTTGGTTCAGACCCACAGAATTTTCTCTGGATCTGGTAAAAGTCTTGTTCATCACATTCTGTGGTCTGCTAAAGTGAGCCTCTGCAACAGGGCACATGTTCATTAAGATCAGTAGAGCCTGCACTGGTAGAACACTGCAAAATAAGGGACAACTTTTGTTTAAGGTGTAGGACTAACTTTCTTTATCTGAGAATAACAATAGGGAAATAGAGTTAAAAGAAAGAGAATAAATAATTCTTGTTCATTCGTGTCTGCAGTCCCCTAATTAAATGCCAGAGACAGATTCTGTGCTCTTCTACAAACTGAACAAACAAACAGAGCCACAAGGAAGTGTTGACCTCCAAAATCTTCAAGAGCTAACAATTTATTTTGAAAAGAAATGGCTGTTTAAAATACTGCATTTTTGATAGGTGGCTCTGTTTTCTTGGTATATGTATAAAACCAAATAATATGGCCATTTTTTAGCAAACATGAGTATTTTAGAAAGAAATTAAAAGGATTTGGTAATTTTGCATTTCTCTGTGCTGCAAACAGTGACAATGACTTATTACCGCCTTCTTTTTAGTCTGTCCTTGAAGTCATTAAATGATTTTTTCTCTCCAAAGTTGAGTGTCAGTCCCTGTTCCACAGACACACCAAAACTGGTAGACACGGGTATTAGTTTAAAAATCTTTCAGGTGACAGAAATTATTTTATATCCCTGTATTTGGAAATTTGTTTCAGTATATTAGAATTTTGATTATACATTAACAAAGGATATGATTGATTTTTTTTCCTGATTAGGATGAAAATGCTGGTGTAACACTTTTCTAACTTGCATGATTCTTCCATAGGATTTTAATGTAGGCTAGAGTTAGTCCTGATGTTTTTTAGGGCTTTTCACACATTTGCTCTGCTCAAGCCCCTTGTTTTGACTTCTCATTTCACTTACTTTCCTTTTAAAAAGCCAAGAATCTGGGAAAGAAATAGGATTTCCAAGTAAGAACACTCAGAGCCCATCTGTTTTTCCAAACATCAGCTTCAGCATAAATACAAGGACAGACAGAGCTACATCATCCTTGGAATGCATTGGGGAATGAATTTCCCAAATCTTGGAGTGACAGTGGAAATGTTTTAGGACATTTTAAGAGAAAGAAAGATGTCCTTCATGTGAGAATGTGGGGTAAGAAGAAAACGTTAAAACGCTGAGCAATCATTTCATTATTGCAAATATTCAGGTGCTCTGGGGGCAGACCCCACATCTGCAATCAGTGCTGCTGCCTTGGGGTAGGGACTAAAAGCACTGGGGGAACCAAATGTCTCTTGTAAAATAGGAAAGTGCATCTCTGAATAAGCCCTATGAATGTGATCCTATGGACTTACTGTCTTAGAAGATTAGAGAAATGCTGAGGAACAGAGAAGTCAACCTATTGTAAAAATGCAGTGAACCCCAGATCCAGGGAAGAAATGATGATGTCTGGCTCCAGATCAGAAGGCTGAAGGATAGCTTTATTAAAATTATACTCTATTACATTACTATACTATTTAAAGAGATACTATCCTATTCTACATACTTCTTACTTACCTAACTAACAAACTTGTGACTCTGCTGAGAGTCTGAACCACAGCTGGATCCAATTGGTTGCTGAACCCAAACAACCTTCATCAGAATCCAACCCAGCAATCACTTCAGGTAAAGAATCTCCACACCACATTCCATATGGGGAAAACAAAGGAGCAGAGGTAAAGATTGTTTTCTCTTCTTCTGTCTCTCTGTCCAGAGAATAGGAATGTCACACCAACCCATGGAAAAAATGTCCTAGATATTGGTTTCTGTTCAATCAGCACACAGATGAAGAAGCTGGCTGAGCTGGGCAGCTCCTGAACAAGCCATAGGTGAGGCCAGTTTGTAAAGACCACTGTGAGGATTTGAGCAGCAGGGCCTGTGCCTCAGTTCATTCAGAGACAGCTGTTGCAGAGTTCATTGCTTTCAGCTGTGACCAGTGAAATGCTGTCTCCATGATCTGGATTGTAGATGGTTCCTCAAAATGTTAAAGCATGTTTGTCATCACAGGCATGGGGATAATTTTGCAAATGTATATAATGTTATTTCTAGATTTCAGGGAGAGAATGTTTTAGAGGATAATTATCCTCTTGCGGGTAGGGTCTAAAAGAGGAGATCTATTAACCAGGAATATTAGTGGCTATCCAATCTTTGGTAATAGTTGTTTTTATGGAAGCATAAAATGATGTCTTTCAGCTCTGCATGAAAGTTTTTGGAGCCTTGCTTTTGATACCAAGGAATTGTGGTCTGTGAGATTCTAGTGTATATATACTCACTTCATCTACATGAAAAAGATATTTGTGCTTGTGATGAAACTCTCCTTTGTATGCTTAATGGATAAACATTTCAGCAGAAGTGTTTATTCAAAAAGGCAAAACAGTGCAACTGTATGAACCTGAGGAGGTTTGTGTCACAATCTGTTATCTTGAAACCCTACCAAGACAAACTTACTTCAGGGGAGTCTGTTTTATTTTGCTGCTGGCAGCAGAATGATTAGTTGCAGAATAATCTTATTGAGAGCTGGTTGCTGATTAAAAAATTAGACTACTCCCTGTGTCATACTTTCAGAGTAATCTTCCTCACGTTTTGATTTTTGAGGAATAGCTAAAGCATAAATACATTATTGTTAAATAATTATTACACTTGAAATTATTAATGTAGCTAATTATAAGTCTCTAAGAATCTGCCAGCCCTTAAGTCTAAGGTTAACTATTTGCAATAAATGAAAAAGACAAACTCGTTGCCTATCAGAACACAGAGGACTATATAATGATTTCTGGAATATTTCCAGGACAATGGAAGAATAATTGGTAACTGGTTTACAAGCAGGAAAATGACCCTCAATCTAGTGAGGATATTGAATGCAATAACATTTTCGGTCCAAATTATATTAAGTACTTGACTACTTCAATTCTTGGGTGCTCAGCTGAACCGTGGCCCCATTTCTATCTTAGCTCAACATTTATAGTTTAAATAAATTTATCAAAGTATGGCCAATTCAGAATGCAGTGTCAGGTGAGACTGCAGCCCCAGGAGAGTCAGCAGTAGGAACTTGCCTTAAAGCTAAGCTAAACTGTTCAAGAAAATTCAGTGAACAAGAAAAAAATTTGTGTCAATTAAAATAAATATACAAAATATTTTCTTTGTGAGAAAGGGAAAAATGTAGTTAACAGCAGTTCTTAAGAGGTTTTTTTTTCAATGAGGATATTTTATTCTCCAAATGATAATCAATTAAAGTATATTCATGACAGAATCTGACCTTTGTGAAAACATTTTGTCCACAAAAGCTGGAGGTTTGATAATCAAATAGTTACCACAGCACACATAAAATATCTGGCTTGGAAAGCACAATGAGTCATGTTTAATTAAACTTTGTTTCAGGTGAGTTGACTTGCAGTCAAATTGGAAAGAACTTCCACATTTTAACAAAAAAATAAAAAATCTTCAAATTGTAGAAATATGCAAATATTGCATCACTTCTCTAGAGGAAGCTGTGATTGGGACTATCTAGGCTTTTGGTGGCTTTATAGTGCTTTATGGTATATGATAATGTTTATGGTTTAGATCATATTGCATTAACTGGAGGTGTCATGAGCTGTATTCTTTGGGCCCCCCTGTGTGTCACACGACTTCTGATTATTCTTCAGTTTTTATTTTCCTTTTAAAGTATACATATATATATTTTTTTTTAAACTGTAACTGATACCTTATGTGCCCAAACATTTCAAGCACTGCTCACATAGGGGAAATACAAAATGTTTTCACATAACTCTGCAATGTGATATTAAACAGATGTAACACAAACATAATAATACTAAGTTCCTCTAAATTTAAGTCTCCTTAGAACATGAATTATTTTAATTCAGATTGAAAACTGAAAAAAACATGGGCTCTTTCTGTATTGCTAAGCTGTTCTTCTCTGCTTGTTTCCAAATCCTTCTTTAGAAGCCTTTTTCCCACAGAAACCTTAATGATTGTCTCTCCTTTGATTTATTTCTTTCAGAATCATTGTCCCAGATCGTGTGTGCCTGCAAGGTTTGGTGAGCTGCTTGGAGTGGATCCCCCTGTCTGTCTCTTTTAGGGGCTCTTTACCATTGTGTGCCAACTCTTTTGCTCTGTTTTGGCTCTGTGCAAAGGCACAATGCAGAAAGTACCTGGATATGCAATGTGCATAACCACAGTGCATAAACAGGGCTGAGGAAGGTGATCCATTATATCTCTCTGGCTGAGGAGGGAGCTGTCCAGCTGGGAGCAATGCTGTGATGTTGCCAGGCTCTGGAGTATGTTTCTCTTTTTTTTACAAGTTCTTGGGTCACAAAAAATGCACAGAGCTGGTAAGCTGCTGCGCAAGAGAAAGCAGAAGGGAGAAGAACAAAGGCTTGGCTGGGTGACAGTGAATGGAAATGCTTACAGGTCCTAAACTTGTAACTTATTTACATTTGGACAAAAAACACCAGTCAGTGATAAGGGTCTGGTTCCAATATTGCCCTTTGAATTTATCAGCTTCCATTTCCAAATTTCCAGGGACTGTGAGCTGTGGAAGTTTACAGGCTGGCACTTTTATACCCCAGCAGCTCTGGACACCTGCCAGCTGCTGGGTGTGTGAATGGCTGGATCTGTGCAGTGGTTGTGCCTGTTCCATTGGTGCAGGCACAGCAGCTCATGTCCACTCAAAGCATGTTCACTGCTGAAGCCCCTTGTGGCCAGTGTCATCTTCTAAAAGCTTCTCAGGAGCAGCATATTCTTACCAAGTTCCCTTTGGCAACATGAGCAATTTTTTCTGCTATATTTTGTGGCTTATCCTTTGAATCATCCTTTAAGGCTATGCCCTGGGCTGAAATCCTATTTGCACTATTAACTTTTATTCTGTAATAACTCATTTAAAAACATCAGATGGTCTCTAAATAGGTGTTTTATTAATGTTTTGTTAAAAATAATAAATTCTGTTCCTATTAAGTCAGGATTCTGCAGCCTCTGCAATGTAACCTTGACATTTCAAAGCTCTTTTAAAGACCTTGCAAAGCCTTCCTGATAGATTGAAGAGTTTATTGTTTTATCAAAGGATACACTCAGAGGAACTGCTGATTATTTTATTCAAGTGCTAATGTCTTAACCCTACTTGCACCTCAGACATGAGTTCTGTATACATGTATAATAAATATATGGTGTATATAGCTATATTTATATTCTTTAGAAACAAAAATGTATTGCAAAATCTAATTAGCTTTTTCTTTCCATTCTGCCTGATTATTTACAATTATTTTATTTTTAATCCATTGCTTTCTCTGATTAATTATTTTGTAGTGTAAGTATTGAAGTCTAATGTAGTTGTCTGAATAAACAATCTGTTTGGAAGTGAGAGGTCACTGATAATCCTAAGTCAGGCTATTTTCTGTATGTAGTTCAGATGGCAGCCAGGATAGTGAAAAGTTAATGAAATCACCCAAAATCTTATGAAAAGAGTTCAAATGAATTTGTGCTGGCATATATAATCTTGTTGGCCCATGGACAGACTCAGTCTTTCAGTTCAGTATTTATTTATTCCAGACAGAAATCATACTGCCAGTGGAACTTAGTGAGGAGGAGGCATTTTTCTCAATTCCCTTTTGCCTAGGTATATAGCATTTCTATCTTTGCTACCAAACACAAATTTAGCTTGTTATAACACCTTCCTTGAGCAGTGATGGAGTCCCACTAAAATATATCTTCTGACTGAAAGTTTAACACTGTGCCTCTACTGCTGCAGCCAATATGTTGCTGTGAAAACTCTTGGTGAGTACTTATCCAGAATTATTGAAGGACTCGACCTTCTTCTGTGAAGTATTAGCAACATTATTGAGTTCTTTTTTAACAGTGGTTTTGTTATCTCTGCCCTTGTAAGTTGCTTCTTCCAAATGTTATGGCTTATTAGTTTATATGTTATTTCCATTGCAATTATAGCCAGAACAGGAAAGGTTTTTTACCTTTTTAACACATTGTCACCATGCATCATTTTTAGATCCTCATTTCTCCTTATTAGAGGTTCTTGAAGCCCTCAGCTCTCACTGGATATCAAAGCTTGCTTCTGATATAAAGTAGCTAAAGGTTATGGAAGGATGTTGTTGGTGACAGTCTGTGATGTTTTATTGGGGTTTGTGTGATCTCTTAGGTTAGTTAAGTGTAATATAAATGTACATAAATATCAGACATGTGGTACAGCCTCTGCTGGAATGACCTCATGGCTGTGCCAGAATATGAGAGATCTCTGCCTGGTACCCCTCACCTCCAGTGGGGTGCCACCTTCTTCTGGAGTTTTCTTCCCCTGGCATAGATCAAATAGGATAGGATGGAATGTTTGAGGTGAGCAGCCTTGGTTGTCTGAGGAGAACTTGGGGATCTTTAAAAAACCCCCAGACCATTGGAAGATAAAGTGAAGCAGATGATAATCATTGATGGAGCCCTGAGGAGACTATCCTAAAGAAAGCAGTGTTATTTTCCTCATTTATTTCAATTTTTATTTTGCTTATGTTCTGTTTGGTGGCTGTGTGGCCTCTGTGTGTACGACCCAAGCACATCATACTCACAATAATTGAAATAATTGAAATAAGATCAGCTGGCCAGAGGATAAATCAGGCTATGTAAAGCATTGACAAGAACTTGGTCCTTACAAGTGCTCATGTGTCTTCAGTGTTCTTGGGGCTGTTGCACCATTTCTTTTAGTCTGAGACAAGGACATATGGGTTAAAATTGTAAACTCAAACATTAGGAGAGACTGGTCAGAATGTGTGGTTTCAGAGCCCTCTAGAGCAATCTGTGATGCAAAATTATCTTTCTATACTATTCAATCATATTTTGTTTTTTTAAAATGTTATAGTAGTGGTTTATTTACATTTTAGAACATTTAAAATGTTTTGAAAATATTATAAAATTTAAATATTAAAATAATTATAGTAAAAGCTGATTACTGTCACTCTGAACCAATTCTGTCCAATTCCCCATTAAAAAAATTGTCTATAGGCCAGACTATACCTTTTCTAACATTGTCAGTGAATTTCCTGGTAGATAATTGAAAGCAAAATGTGGCCATTTAATTCCCCAAACAGCTATAAAAATACTCTGAAGAGTATGTATATGGGGTATGAATAGTTGATTTTTCTTTTAAATTTGGTTTATAAGGCTATTGTGAGTAGTGTCATTTCCTTTTTCACTGCATCCTTGAGAGTGGGTGTTTGCAGATGCACCATTATGAGAGTTACTCATTGTAAAATCCTTTCTGAGTAAAGGCAGGCACGCAGTGCTAATTGCTTTACAGAGACACTCTGCAATGTAGTATAAAATATCACTTCAGCCCTGTTCATAAAGACCTGAGTTTCCAAATGTTCAGTACATTACAATAAGTTTTGGGTTGGGCTAAATTGCACTATTGATTTTTTTGTAATTAGGTTTTAATGAATTGTACACACTGAAGTTTACATTTGTTGAGAGACTTCAAAGATTGGATTGTGATCATTTAATTCACCTTTTTTTGTGTGTGTGTATCTAACAGGAGAGACTTCCTGGAAATATTTTCTAGGTATCAATATTTTTGTGTTAGCTTCTTTAAAGTCCAGCATCTATCTTTCTCCAGTAAAATATTAAGAAAATATGTAAGATTATAGGAATTTGGTTTATTCAAGATCTATTGAAGTATTCCACATCTTAGAAATTTATATTTTCCTACTGTTTCCCCTGCATCTTTTGGATTAAACTGCTTGACTGAAACTGGTCAGTAAGGGTTTTGTTGGACTATTGTTCTTTATGGGAGCTTCTATTTGGATTAATCTTTATCACTGGGCACTGAAAAGCTGTTTTTCCTTGTTAATGCTTAATCAAATAGCGTGGCTGCAGATAATCCCTTGTTCTGATTTAGTAACAGACACTGTGTTCCAGGAGATTTTCTTATGCTGTTTTATTTAATTATGTGCTTTTGTAAGAAAAACACATGTTCTACACCAGTCCCAAAATGCTGATTTAATGATGCTTATACAGCTTCATTTATTCTTGATGGGTCAGGGTCTCTGCTGTAACTTGATATTTGTGATCCATTTCACCCTCCTAAAGGAAAATCACTTTTTGTTTTCTAAAGCAGTTAGATAATTTAAAAGTCCCTAAACAATTAGGGCTTAGGAAATTAGAGATTCTGTACCAATGTGTGAGAGTTTCCTTTCTCTTCCCTTTGCTAATTTACTGGATTTCCCCTATGGTGGAAATGAATGATTTTTGCTGGGTGTAGTCATGGCTCAGGAGGGTTTTCCTGTGGGCTGGGGCTAGGCTGGGTGGGTCAGGGATCCCTGCAGGGGGTCAGGGATCCCTGCAGGATGTGATCCCTGCAGGATGGATGGGTCAGGGATCCCTGCAGGGTGGGTGGGTCAGTGATCCCTGCAGGGTGGGGGGGTCAGGGATCCCTGCAGGATGGATGGGTCAGGGATCCCTGCAGGATGGGGGGGTCAGGGATCCCTGCAGGATGGATGGGTCAGTGATCCCTGCAGGATGGGTGGGTCAGGGATCCCTGCAGGATGGGGGGGTCAGGGATCCCTGCAGGCTGTGATCCCTGCAGGATGGGTGGGTCAGGGATCCCTGCAGGATGGGTGGGTCAGGGATCCCTGCAGGCTGGGTGGGTCACTGATCCCTGCAGGATGGATGGGTCAGGGATCCCTGCAGGCTGGGGCAGGGCAGCACCACTTCTGCTCTGGGCAGCCCCTGCTCTTGGTCAGGGGCACTTCACTGCCACTGGTGCTTCTCTCTCTGAATGGGATCACAGCCCATCCCAAACTCAGATTAACCAGTTCCAGCTGCAGCAGCTCCCTCTGCCTATGCAATAACATTTCTCAGCCATCTCTGTGTCCTGTTTGCCAGCTCCAAGTCGAGGTGCTGCTCTGTGTGCCCAGCCCAGGAGCAGCCTGGCAGGGCTAGGGATGGACAAAGCCAAAGCATCCCAGAGGGATGTGACATGTTAGCTTGACTTAGCTCCAGAGCTTTTGGATTGGAATTTTGGGATGAAAACCTGATTTGCAATACACAGAAATTGATGTAAAAGTGGCTGGATAGATGGACCTTCCTGATTTCTTTGCTGCTGACCTACTCTGTGACACTGAGTAAATAAGCCACTGAAACTTGCTGTGTTTTTATTCTTCCTATATATGTTTATTCTACATTTTATATTCAATCTGTAATATTTCAATCTTTCACACCAAAAAAAAGTAAATATTTCTTAAAAGATAAAAAAATATTCCAGGTTGTGTTTAATTCTGTATGATTTGCACTTGCTTAGCTAAGAAAAAGTCAAATAAGACTCAAAAACATTCACAATAATTCTAAGTTGCTGAATTTTGCAATTTAATTTCAATAAACATGTTCAGCCAGAGGATTTTTATCTTTCAAACTAAATATTATACATACCTTCAATTTCTTCTTAGACTAAGCCACCCCCTGGTGAATTTATGCTGCTCTCCTTAGCTGGGAATCTATTATGTCCTTCACAACTATTTGGCATAAGAGCCTGAATTAGGCAATTAAAAAAGACACAGAGCTTTTACAACTGTGCCTAAATACTACTTCTAAATTTGTGCACAGCCATTTCCACATGGAAATATGTACTTTGCACGTGTGACTGTGCAGATTAAATCAACAATTTAAGTTTATAGTGTGAGTGCACCTGCATATAAGCCTTTATTTTAAAATTTGGTCATGCACAACTTTGCTTTTTAATTAGGTTTTCTTTTTTTCTAATTGAGAAATATTTGCATATGCATATATGTATGTGTATGTTTTGTGTCTATTTTTAGAAAGTGTGACTGTAAATTGAACTTACAGAATGGTAGGGTGCAGTTTGGATATATTCAAGTATGTAACCTATGTAAATAAAAACAAGGATAAGTGTCCCAAAGTGAACCTCAGGTCTGGCTAAAATGTGGAAAATTTCTTTGCTCTTTGGCTATGGATGAACAGAAATTTCAGATCATAAGAATATGTTATTTGTGTTTTCTCATGGTTTTCTCTGGAATAGCTTTTCTTTAAATTAGAGCTAAATCTTGTTATAATTTATCAGAATGTTTAATGCTGATGTTAATTTCCTCTCTGGCTATGAAATAGTTTGCCAGTAATATTGGTTGCAATCATGGCATGAGGCACTTGTACAAAATAGTGATAATTGTTTTATTTGTTGAGATGATAGCAGCTGTTTACAAGGAGTGTTGCTAGCAGTGATTTTTGTTCTTTAGAGCATCTTAGTACAATGTTAGTAAGGGTATTTATGAGTCTCTGGGGCAGGACATGGAGAGAAGAGGAAATATTTGGAGACAAAATAAGATATTTTGAGATTAGTAACTTCCTTCTCCTTTCCTCTTTGAAATATATCTTTATTTTTTAAATAAATTTTCTTTACAGATTCCTTTCTCTGTGACAGCCTTTTTGAGTTTAAATCCATGCAATCTTGCAGGACAATACCAATTAGCTAAAGTAAAGTGAATGGGCAATTTAGAGAAAAAAAAAATTACACATTAAGCAATTCATTCTGCTGAGTTCCTGAATGAATTTCCAGACAGGCTAACCTTGAGTTTGTATATATATAACTTTAACTTCCTGAAAACTACAGAAGCCTGGTGTCTTCCAATGAAGTGAAAGAGGTCAGAATGAAATTGAAAGAAGGATTGAAGTGACAGGAAAACAATGCAAGAACAAAAAATAGTATGAAGAAAACCATAATTTTCCAGCAAATAAAATCTAAAAATCATAGAATTAAAAAAGTTTGAAATAAACAAAGTTTACTTGCATCATTAGCTTGTCTGTTCCTATGTCAATACAGAAAAAATTTTTACAGCAAATTTCCAAGGGTTTAATCCTTTTTAAAATACCCTAAATGACAGCGTTTCACAAGGATGCTTAGAAGACTATTTCATGGTCAGATACATCTAATTATCAGTATTTCCTTTCCAAATCCAGCCTTTGCTCTGTTGCATCCTATTATTCCTACCCCTTGAGCCACATTAAATAGGTTTTTCTCCCTTCCTTGGGATTTTGGGCTTAAGACACTTAAGGATACCTATCATTGATCCCTTAGCCTTGCTAAGAAGAGAAGAAACTTCTCCAATGGTAGAAGATGGAGAGATAAAGCTGAATATAGTTTTCCTACGCTGCACTGCCAGGCTTTTGAAAAGTATGTGGTATTAAAGTATGCACTGCTTTCCTCCCTAACTCTTGAGTTAAAGTGGATTTTTAAAATTTGATCTTTTCAATTAACTTGTGTTACAATGGTTGGATCAGGCTGGGGATTTTCAAAATGTGAAATTTGGCCTGCTTTGTAGGTTAAATATCCTCTGAAGTGCTTGGTTATTTCTGCCTGTTCCAGTGTCTCCAGGGGACCAGATCCACCTCATTTCCAAGCAGCAGATACTAAAGTGGGTTTCTGTGAGATGTGCTGGAGTTATTTACAGCTGCATGCACTGCTTTGTTGAGGATATAATTATTCCCTACCATCAGTGATTTTTCTTTTTCTCTTGTTCTACCTTCTAGTTATCAATGTTGCCGTTTGTCTTGGAACCACAGTTTTTTTCCATGAAAGAAAGCCTGGTTTAGTCAAGATAAATGACCAAAACCATACTAGATTGCCAGAATTCTTGAGGTAAGAAGGTTGCTTTTATCTTTGACACTTGCTGATGCTCTTGTCTGCTTGTGTGTTTATATTCCATGGTGAATTGTCCTTGAAGCCCTCTCCTGTCTGAGGACAAGTTCTAAACTGAAGGCAAACAGCTTCTGCATCATACACATGTGCAGGGATTCCACCTCCCTGTCACAGTAAATTGTCATGTGTGAATCAAAGGAATTTCAAAATTACCTTTGCAGGCTGCTCAGAGATCTGTGGAGTCTCCTTCTCTGGAGATATTCAAAATCCAACCACAGTCCTGACTAATGTACTCTAAAGCATCCTGCCCAAGCAGGGAGGCTGGACCACAGGACCAACAGTGATCTTCCAGTCTCATCCATTTTATGATTCTGTCCTTTAGTAAGAAATAATCAGTTTCTTTTTTGATGTTGTTATTACTATTATTAGTATGATTATTATCATCATCATTGACGACTTTTAGAGAATAATTTCACATAGTGTTTAGAAAATACAGTCTGAGGGAGTTGTATAAATATTATTGGCATTATATCTGCAAACATAAGGTAATTTAGCAATTACTGCCCCAGCATGGTTTATATTTAATGTATTAATTATATTTGCATACATTAGGTGTACACATGGAGACCTCAAAGTCATCTCTGTCAGATTCCATGAATCTGTGAGTCAGGTAAACATCTGCAGCCAGTACAAAAAGTGTGCTTAGTCAGGCGATTTATCAGGATCAGGATAAAACTGCTGCTCACAACCCTTCCCTGCTAATTGAGCCAAGACATAAAATAGCATCTGCAAATGTTTGACTCTTGATCCCAAACCAAGGAATCATTGTCAGGCTATTTGCAGAGTATACCTCAAAAGCAATATGTTAAGAAAAGTACTAGAGCAAACAATTGAATGCAACTTTCTTAAATACTAGAGGTAAGGCCGACTGATTAAAGTCCATATTAAATGTTGTCATTGTTAAATCCAGCTTTATCCTCAGTAAAATATATATGCTGTTGCAGAAAACAATGTTATCCTGGCAGTAAAAATCTGTCTGTCCAAGGCTGTCTGCAAAAGACTTCTCTTTTCACATTGATTGGTTTTTGTCTTGATAAAATGAATGGTGATTGTTAATGATTTTCATAATCACTTCTGTAAGCCAGAGCTAAAGTTCTATGAAGATGAGTAGCTTTGTAAAAGTAAATACGATTTCAGATGATGTACACCTGCACCTAAGCACATTCCCCATTTTTAAACTGCTCTCAAGCTCCTTGTGTCTCAACCACTCTTTGCCCTTTGCCAGTTACCTCCCTGAGCAGTGGCACAAAGCATTAAAAACCTTCTCTGGAGTTGCAAGAGGCCACAGAGATCTGAGCAGGCAAAACACAGTGTACAGTGGCTTTTTTAATTTTAACCAAAAACTGAAATACTCCAGTGCTAAAAACTGAACATTCGTCAGGATGAACGTTTTGCCTAAGCAAATTACATTTCAACTAACAAACATGTTCTAGAAGCTGCATATTAACTGTAGGAAAAATTGCTGCAGGTAAATAATTTGAACACTATATTGGGTGAAAGCTGCTCATATTTTGCTGGATCCTTAGATAAAATAACATGAACTACTTGTATAGGCTTGCTGGGCTTCATCCAGTAGACACAAGGACAGTGATCTCTAGACAGTATATTCAAAACATAATTAAAACATCCATTTCAGGGATCCCCCAGCAAGTCTCAACAGGCAATATTATTATCACTTGAACTAACTTTTCTACTTAATAAGTTTTATGTGATGAGCTCATGGTCATGTCTAATTGGCTGGACATCTAAGCATTTCACATTAAAATGGGCTTGAACTTACTCGTAGAATGTAATTGTGACAAATATTAAATCTGTAATGGTAATCAGGCAGTAAACTAAAAAGTAGGGTTTAAAGACTCATTTTTAGCTACAGAATGCAGATGATGGAGAAAGCATCTCTTTTTGCAAGTCATATTCCTTATATGTGAATACAACTGCTGTAGCTAGTTTCTATTCTAATGAGGTTTCTGAATTATAAATTATATCTGTTTTTCCTGTTTCACTGATTAGCAGAGATGGTCAGCATCCTTCCTCTCATCTTCTCATCATTTATCTCTTCTTGTTTATCACATTTTATAGACTACACTTCTAGTACTTCCTTGCTTCTCTATAAGAGGTCAAAAGAGAAATTCAAATGAGTCTGGAAGTAAGTAGTCATCTAGTTTATCTTCTTTACATTGACTTTTGTTCATCACTTGAGTTGCTATTTCATAGACAAGATAGTCTAATTAGGTACAGAGAACATCATCCAGGAGTAAGGTACTGACCTTCAATTTTAATTAAGTATTATGGGAGTCTTAGTCTTAAACACTTCATTTGCCATTGTTATGACGAACAAATAAACTAGGGTTTGTTCAAAATAGTTCATCTGGTTCAGCATTTTAGGATATTTCTTTTTGAGAAAGAAAATTCTTTTTGAATTTTAAAAAGCAGTATTTACAGCAAAATAAAATTAAATTTTTAAGGTACAAAAGTATCTCTTGAAAAAACACAGAAATTCCCAGAACATTTCAAAAGTAACTATGGATTATGTCTAATCAATAGATATTATTTCTTAAAACTGGAAACACTTCTATCTCATTCCAGCTAGATGGGGCTCTACATGAACTACTGGAGCCATTTGTGTTTTCTTTCCATAAAACCAGTTAAATAATAAATTTTATTAATTGTTCTCCATTCTGAAGGTGACATTTTCTTCTCCTGTTTCCCATAACATCTGCAAAGGGAAAAGCACTGCCAGTATTAATGAAGGGAAGCCAGTTGATATAATCTCTTGGGATTTTAATGAAGCTTTCAGTACTGCCTCTTGCAGCGTCCTTCTGGACAAAGAATGCCATGTTCAGTGGGACAAGCATGTGGCACAAAGGTTGGGGTGAGCAGGGCTGTGGGGCTGGGACAGCTTTGGGGGCACAGTGGAGGAGGGACACTGAGCCACTAGAGAGTGTCCAGAGGGGGCCACAATAGAGGAGGGACACTGAGCCATTAGAAAATGTCCAAGGGAGGCCACAAGGATGGAGAAGAGCCTTGAGGAGAAGCCGTGTGAGGAGCAGCAGAGGGTTCTTGGTGTGTTCAGCCTGGAGCAGAGACTGAGGGCAGAGCTCAGGGCAGGTGCAGCTGCCTCGAGAGGGGACAGGAGGGGCAGGCGCTGATCTCTGCTCCGTGTGACAGTGACAGGAGCCTGGGAATGGCCCGGAGCTGCCTCAGGGAGGTTCAGGTTGGATGTCAGGAAAAGTTCCTCACCAGAGGGTGGCTGGGCACTGCCAGGCTCCCCGGGGCACTGGGCACAGCACCAGCCCGACAGAGCTCAGGAAGAGTTTGGACAACGCTCTCGGGCACAGGGTGTCTTGTGAGTGACCTGGAGGTGAACTTCAAAGATCTTTGTGGGTGCCTTCCATCCTGGGATAGTCTATGCATATCTACGTATTCTGAGATATTCTATGACTAAATACAGGATATCTTAATTATATGGACTGAAATTTATGCTTATATTTTTTTAGAAATTGGAAAAAGTGAGAAATTTAGAGAAATCTAAATCGAGTGAATGAGAAACCGACTTTTGTGTGTGTGTAAAAAAAATCCATACGTTCCATCTTCTGATTTTGTGGTGTTGTTTATTTTAAATTGTTCCTTGGAAAAGCTCTGTTTTAAATCTCTAAAATTCAATGGGAAAACATGAAAATTCAGACCTTCATTGAAATCAGTGTGTGTGACCTGTGGCTTTACCTGAAGCTCATGAAGTACTTACTTTTGGGATGCATTGGTTTACTGTATCCTGTATCCCAAGTAAAGATGGTATTTTATGTCAGAGAAATTGCCCTCTAGAAATGCTAATTTCTTTCCACTGGCTATAAAGTGATTTCAGGCAACTACCTAGATTCAGATGTCTGTGCAGATTCAGACAATTAGCAGACAACTGGAAATGCCCCTTTTATGCCGCCCTTCCCATGTTTATCTCTTGACTTCAAGGACAGAGCTCTAATCTTTTATACTCAATTAATGCAGGAATGAAAACACGATTTTCATTGATTTCCACTTCTATTTCAAGAAAGGAAGCAATGATTTTGAGGGAAATTTGGAGTTGGTTTATATTAGTGCTCAATTACACATAATTTAGATGAGGGTAAATATTACGATTTCAGACTTCAGCACAAGAATAATAGATTTTTCTTTCTTTAAGGAAAATAGCCTATTTGCTTTACTGCCAAACATTGACTCTTTCAGTATGTTCAAGCCTAGAAGGCTGAAAACAACGGCACAGATGTGATTCACGTCAGGCTCAGCAGCATGGTGCTTCAGTGTTCTGGCTTGTTGGAAAGCTTCCAGGGGATTTAGGGAAAGAAAATACTGAGGAAATACAAACTGTTATTTTGCCAATTAGTTGGAAAGATTTGTTTTTTCAGCATGATTCAAATTCACTTTGTTAATTTTAATTTGCTTTCATCAAGATTTCCCCAAGCAAAACAAAATATTTAGTCACAGACCTGTAATCTCTATGCCTGTTATAGTTAAAATGGTTATGTATCAATCCAAAGAATTTTAGAATACCTTGTTTATTAAGGGGCTTATGTGTCTCCTAGGTGATTGCAGGAATAAAGTGCCAGTATACAGCATCAAAACAAGGTAAATCCATTATTGCTTTAGGAATGTAGTTGTTGGAGCCTAGTTTGTGTTTTTTACAGGGAGTTTATTTGCTTATTTTAAACCTGTAAATACGAATCACAAGACTATATGTAATAGGTTCTTTTCTGGAACATGATTACTAACACATTGGCTTTGTGGGGTGGTGAAAAGGACTGTAGGAAAATACTCTTCAGTGATTTATTCTCCTTGCCTGGTGTCCTTAAGAACTGGTGTCACTAAAACACAGACCATCAATGTGGAGGCATTTTTAAAAAGTGTAGTTAAGTCATCTTGGTTTATGTAAGATTAAGACATATTAA